TTCTTCTGTTCTTCCGTTTTGGACATGATTTCTTTGTCTCCCCATTTTGGCTGCCTCTGTATTTCTTACTATGTATTAGGTAGATCTGCTATTCTTGGTATGGTGGCCTTATGTAGTAGGTGTCTCGTGTGGCACAATGGCAAAGTCTCCCTGATCACCTGAGCTAGGTGCTCCAGGAATGTCCCTTATCTGGGTTATATGGGCCCTGTTGTTGTAATTGAGTCTTTTTCTTAAAAAGCAGGGTTTACAATTTTATTTTCACATTTCACAATGCAAATGAATTTTTTTGTCCTACTACTCCCCTCCAAAACTATTCTCTCTTTCATAGGAAGAGGGAGTGAGTCTTCCTTGTTGCGCTGTTAGAAAACACCCAGAGTCACAGCACCATACTCTCCTGGTGAACTAGAGCAAGCAATACAAAAGTGACAGAAAGAGGCTCCCCTCTCTCCTTATCTGTCTGGTCGAGTCATTCCTGGCCAAGTGGGCACCATCATGGGAGGGGCAGGAGGTCTCATCACTGGGGGCCCAGGCATCATGGGCATGTGCCCTCCCATAGGTGGCCTCATTCCAGGAGCAGGTCCCACTGGCATCATCCCAAGAGGAGGAAGACCCTTCATGGGAGGGCCCCCCATATGGGGTGCTGGCATCATGCCAGGGCGAGGGGGCCCGGGAAGACTGGGGGGAGGAAGAATCATTGCCCCTGCAGGAGGAGGAGCAGAGAACGGAGTGGGAGGTATCTTTCCTTGCTGAAATGCCGCAGTTGTTTTGTCAGTCAGGTTCTGAGCCTGCTCCTCCATCCATTACTGATAGTAGTCTTTCACATTCTCTTTGTGTTTCCTGCCACTGCAGTGTGTCTTTCTCACAGACAGAGAGTCATGGGTGAGGTATGTGTTGTAGTAGTCACAATAAAACTTGGGCATGTTGTTCTGCAGGTCGTTGGCCACTCGGTTCCACACCACTGGAAATGACCGTAATTGTCTTAATAGCTGTTGGCTCATTTGTAAGTGTGTTTGCTTCTCTTGCTGGATTGACTCTGAGTACAGTGTGTGAGCTGCTGTGTGTGAGTTGACTCCAAAAGCTGAATTCACCCCAACAGGGACTGGTGTCTGGCGAGACCTTCCTTTGTGTGTGTCACTTGTGCAGCTAATGAGGTCATGTTCTGATGTGTTCTGAATCACTGGCTGTGTTGATTTTGGGGCAACTTGAGAGGGGAATCCACTGCTGGTCCAAGTCAGCTGCTGCCTGTGACCAGCCTGAACTATATGTTTGGAGCTACAAAGTGATCCAAATTTTGTGGCTGCTTCTGCTGAGCATCAGTGTATGTAGGAGAAGCCTAGCTGTACCCCAAGGCCAGTTTCCACCAGCACTGAGCCTGGGGGAAGGTTAGCAAAAGGCCTGAGGCTCCCAGACATCTGCTCTCATCTGTTAGCTGCCTGTTAGGCATAGTAACTGAAAGCTTCTAGCAGTATGTGTGTTGTGTGAGTGAGTCACTAGGTAGAGGTGAGTGGTGTTCACCAGACTGATGCAGCTTCAAACGTGGTGCCAGTACTGGGTTTGAGGCCACTCAGCCACAGTCTCAGGGTACACCAAGGTCAGCTGCCACCTGCTAGTGCCTGTTGACCTTTGTGGTGGGGCAGAATCTCGGTGATTCATTTGGGCAGTGATTTTCAACAAGTGTGCCATGACACACTGGTGTACCACAAGAAATTTTAAGGGACTTGGGGCATGGCCGAGAAGATATCGCCCTCCCAGATGGAGGCTTGGTGCAGGCCCATGAGATGATGTTATCAGCAGTGAGGCCTGGGCAGGGGCCTGTGTGGGAAGCCTTTGTGTAGCTGGGACTATGGAAGGCAGGATGGCTGCTTTGACTGCAGTGGTGGGGAACAAGGAGTGCTGCAAGATGGTGCTGCTGCAGGTGTTCACCAAGGATGCCTATGCCAAGAGTTATGTCCTGACCACGTTTGAGGACTATACTGTGAGCTTTGACATAGACCAGCACCACATTGAGCTTAACATGTGGGACACTTTAGGTCTTTCTTACTATGATAATGTTGGCTTCTGGCCTACCTTGATACAGCAACTGTGCTCATCTGCTTCAACATTAGCCCACCAGAAACACTAGACAGTGTCCTTAAGTAGCAAGGGGAGACTCAGGAGTTTTGCCCCAGTGGCAGAGTTGTGCTGGTTGGCTGTAAATTGGACATGCTGACTGAACTGGCTACACTGAGGAAGCTGTCTAAGTAGCAGCTTATCTCTTTTACAAATGAGCAGAGCACTATGCTGGCCAAGCAGGTGGGGACCATGTCCTATATAGAGTGCTCCTCCACATCCTCTGAGTGGTCCTCTGATCACAGGGTCAGGGATGTCTTTCATGTGGCCACAGTGACATCTCTTGGCCATGGCCACAGATACTTGTCCTGTGCTGACTCAAACAGGGACTACAATGATTTACTCAGCTGGCAGGATGGCCAGATGGGGAGAATGGGAGTGAAGGTGAAATACACAAAGATTGAGCCAAGAGTTGCAACCTCAGATGAGAAGTTGGGGAGGGGCAGAGTGTCAGAAGGGGTTGTGAAGGGTAGTTGTTCCCTTGCCTGTACCCTGCTGTCCTGACTTCCTGACTCTGGCTGGGATTTCAGGATAGGCTGAGTGAGTAGTTCTCCCAGGCAAGGGACCTGGAGGCACAGGATCTCACCATTCCGTACGTACATCTTCATCCCCTTCCTCTCCACAGGAAGTTGAGGGAACTAGCAGGACAGACATCTGGGCCAGGAGCTGGGATAGGGCAGGAAGGTTGGGGAAGGTGGCATCAGTCAGTGACTTTGGTTGAGTCTCCCTCACCTAGTCCCTATATTCTGGTCGTGGCTTCCTTCCCTAATGAAAGTGACCACTGCATATCTTTTCCTTTTCCTCTCTTCTCACTTCTACAGCCATTCTCACTCATCCTAACCTCCAAGAAACATGTACTAAATTAAAAAGCAAGTTGAGAAGCCCCTCCCCCCATATATCCACCAATCCTAGCTCCTCCCTCTCTTCCCTCAACAGTCTCCAAAATAAAGCCCATGAAAAAAAATTATTTTAAATGCAATACCTGACTATTCAGTCAAGGTCACTGACCTCTTTTCTCTTAGATTGTCAAATAAAAATATTACAACAGCCAACACGACTATAGCCATCTGGTGTGAAGAAATCAAAATTATACCTTTTTTTGTCCGATCAACAAAAATTATAAAATATTTTTTGGTGTGCCACAGAATTATAGTATTGGTTTATGTGTACCATAAGATGAAAAAATGTTGAGAATTGCTGCATTAAGGTGAGACCAGCAGTGTTCATCAGGCCCAAATAGCCTAAGATTTGGTCATGTGAGTAGAGGGTTCTGCTCAGGAATGGTGGCAGTAGTCTGTCATGCAAGGGGAAGATGGCTCTGCCCAAGAGCCCCATACTAAGTTTTTCCCAGAGTCTATTCATACCTCCAGGAGAGTATTCTGCTGGGTGGAGGGAGGTGACACGCTATGTTGGCCACAGTCCACTGAATATTTCAGACTTTGCAGGGTGGGTCAGAAGGAGTTGGGAGAGTAGGTTGGAACTTGGGGTTCTTTCCTGGTGGGGCTAGTGGATCTCTCTCTGTGGAGTGGGGCCATCTGATGCAACTGCTCTGGCTTGCGTGTGTGCGTGGGCGGTCACCACTTGAGGCACCTCCTGCTGAGGCACACTGTAGGAGGAGGAAAAACAGCCTTTGCGACAAAGCAACACAAGTTTAGTTCTGATCTTCACAGAGTTTGTCTTCAAGATTCCCCCCCAAGAAAGTCTACACCCCAGGCCCAGGCAGCAGATCCCTCTGCAGGGTGTGAGCTTGGATGGATGGGACACAGGGGGCCTGGAGGGTGGGGTCTTTGCAGTTACCCCAGGTTGACACAGTATGCTTGACCCAGGAAAAATGGTGTCTGTGGGCGGTGTGTGAGAGACACTCAGCACAGGGACCCTGGTAAATGTCCCTTCAGCTCTCTTCCTGGAGCCACACAACCCAATCAGTTTTCACAGACCTCCAGTCTACTTTGAGCTGCCCTCCCTTTCCCAGAACCAAGGGTGAGTGGCTATGAGTGAGATTTTGTGTGCTGGCCCTTTAAGGAGACAACTGGGTTTCTAGCAGACTACTGACTCTTCCTGGGGGACAGAATCTCTGTTGATTTTCACAGCCAGATGTTATGTGGATACCTCTTCTAGTTCTGTTGCTTCCAGCTGGGGATTTCTGAGTGGGGTTGAGACCTCACATGCCTCAGGGGAGACCTCTGCAACTCAGATAGCACTGTGGATTCTTAGTTGGCCCATCGTAGTGGGGCCAGCCCTTTTTGCCCTTCCTCCCAGTCTCAATGTGGCTTCTTCTATAAATCTTTGATTATAAGACTTTTGTTCATCTAGTCTTCAGATGGTTATTGAGATTGTTCTGTTGGATTGTTCTATATTTTAGTTGTAATTCCAGTTTACACTTGGGAGGAGGTAATTGTAATTTACATCTACTCCACCACCATCTTCTTCCTCTCTAATTTTTCATTACATAGAGTCTTTACATGAGCATTTTTCTGGATATTTTGGTTTATCTTTATGATTTCATATATATATATATGTATTTTATGATTAAATGGAGTACCAATATAACAACTCTTTTAATGATGTTTTTGATTAATAGTTTATATTACATTTGCTTTTGGTATATATATTTTTAAAGATTTTATTTATTTATCTTTAGAGTGGAAGGGAAGGAGAGAGGGAGAGAAACATCAATGTATGGTTGCCTCTCATGTGTCCCCTGTTGGGAACTGGCCTGCAACCCAGGCATGTACTCTGACGGGGAATCAAACCGTGGTTGTTTGCTTCACAGGCCCGTGCTCAATCCACTGAGCCACACCAGCCAGGGCTGTTTTTGATATATTTTAAAGTTAATATCAAGTTATAAATACAGGTAAAGTACTCATTTTAGATTTTTCATTTTTTTTCAGAAACCATGAGTAGAGGATCTGAAGTCCACATTTTTTGGGGTGCTCCAATTGGCCCGTTGAAAATGACAGTATCACAGGAACCAACTTCTTTAATGTCCAGTGCTAATCCCTGGGAAAAAATTCAGCTTTTATACAATCAACGTTCGTTACATGTGAAGGATGAAAAATGCAAGAATGGAAATCTTGAGGATTATCAAGTCCTAGGAATTACTGGCCCTCCAGATCTTTGTAATGAACATTTCTCAGCAAACTCTATGAATAGATCTGTTCACGTGAAAGATGACTTTATATATTGTGTTTGTGAAACAGAGACTCTAAAATTCCAGAAGAGTCATTTCTTATGGATGAGTGATAAAACTAACTCTGATGTCCAACTATGTGCTTGTAGAGGTAGAGTGCAGCATTTAACTGAAGAAAAAAAGTATCAAAATCAAAAGCTTTTCAGTGAAAATAAGAAAATCACCGTTGAACAGCATAAAGATCAATTAACTATGAGTGCAAATTGTAGTGCAACCACATATTTTACAATATGTGATCAAAATGTCCAAAAAAGTTTCTTTCAGTTAGACCATAAGTGTGCAGCTATATTGGATTTGGTCTGTAGTACCGAACAGATTAACATAGGGTCAGGAGCTATTGACACAACATGTATACCAACAGAACATCAAGAAATACGAAATGAATGGCTGGAAAAGAATTCCTCTAACACGGTAGATAAGCCAAGGTCTGAAGGAGCAGTTAGGAAGGCCTCAGACCTGAAAGTATCTACTGATACTGAATTTCTTAGTATAATGACCTCCAGCCAACTAGCTTTTTTAGCTCAAAGGAAGTATAAGGAGGTTAATTCTATAAATAAAGGGATGTTAAACATGGAGATTGGATCAGGAGCAAGTCTTGGGGAAATAAAAATAACCGAAGATAAGTTGATTCAGCCTGATGATGCTTTTGTAGAAAGATATGAAAGTAGACAAAACCAAGCATATTCCCTTAAAGTTTTTAGTCCTGTTTTTCCTGAAAGAAGGAGTAGTCACATTCACATAAACTCTGATAAAGGCTTTGAAGGAAATACGAGATCTCAAGAACTTTTCAGTTTTGAAGATAAACTGCCATCAAATGAGATATGTATTGAGTCATGTAGCTCAGGAATACTGTGCTCCCAAATAAATGCTTTCCACAAAACTTCTGTTAAAAGAAATTGGATCTCTGAAGATAAACTGGGCCATCTGAAAGTCCTCCAAGCTTCTAAAAAAATTAAATTGGTTTCTAATGCAGGAGATCCTACTACAAGATACCAGAGGAGTGTGTCTGAATTTAAGGGTATTAAAAAAACATCATTAATAAAAAATTGTAATTCTAAAAGTCAGAAGTATAATTGTTTAGTCATGGTATTATCTCCATGTCATGTGAAAGAAATAAATATAAAATCTGGAACAAATTCTGGCTCTAAAGTGCCTTTAGCAACAATTGTGATAATTGACCAATCAGAAATTAAAAAGAAAGTTTTTCTGTGGAGGACTGCAGCATTTTGGGCACTTACATTGTTTCTTGGAGATATAATTTTACTTACAGGTAAGGTCGTCGCGGTATAGTGGTAATTTAGTTTATAAAACTGTAAGTTTTTTCCCCTCCTACTTGAGGACTCTTTCTTTACCATTTGCCTCTCTAAGCTCCACCATGACTGACCCCTTTATAACACCCGTATTGGCCTCCTCACACTTCGTTGCCATTTCTGGGCCTGCGTTCCAGCCTTCTTAGTTCTGTCCCTCATTTCCACTCACCTTCTCCCTCAGAAGCTTTCCCTGGTTGCTCCTCCTACTCATTTAGTATATTAGTATTTAGGTCAGATCATCAGGCTCTTTCTTTGTTTTCTTACGGTTTTGTGTATGTATGTCTTATTTTTAGCCCTTTTCTTGAACTATATTAACAGTTTTATGATGAAAGGACAATGTTTCTGCTACTTTACTTAATCCCTAGTAATGCTGTGCATATTACATTCTTATTGGGGGAACACATATAGAATATCTATTGCATTTTTAAATTATTGAAATTATATTAATCACACTTGGAATTATGGAAAGGGTAACTTCTCATATATCATACCAACCTCATATAACCACCATTAGAGTTTTGAAGTGTTACCAGTTATCTTACCTATACTTCTTAAAATTTGTGTACATACATATATAAAAGCTGATATTTATTGGGAATTTACTGTGTGTCAAACCCTGTTTTAGACTTTACATGAATATCAACTCTTTACAACTATGTGAGGAAGGTACTGGTTATTATTCACATTTTTTAGTTTGAGGAAACTGAGACCCAGAAAAGCAATTTGTCCAATGTTGTACATCTAGGAAGTGAGAAAGTCAGGATTTCACCTAGACTGCAGAATCCATACCCTTACTATATAGTTGTAATCCTAAAGACCATATAGTTCTTTATCCTGCCTTTTCGCCTGACATAAGGAATTTAATATTTTGTTACATTTCATTTTTTAAATTTCTTTTCTTTTAGAGAAACATTGATTTGTTCTTCCCCTTATTGATGCATTTATTGGTTGATTCTTGTATGTGCCTTGACCAGGGATAGAACCCATACCCTTGGTATATTGGTATGAAGCTCTAACCATCTGAGCTACTTGGCCAGGGCATTGTTGCAGTTCTTTATTGACTTAAAATCAGTATACAGTATGGTACAGCAGAGATACCAGTGATTTTAAGGATGAATCTCAGACTGGAAGGAAATTGATTAGGCTTAATAACACCTCTAAAGAAAGAATGTAATAGAAAAGAGGTATAGGGTCAACCTTAGAAGCTTAGAAAAAGAAATCATCAAGACAACCATTAGTAGGTTCTACAAATGTTTTGCTGGGGGAATGAGAACTTTAGTTAATATACCTTGGTAGTTGTGTAAGATTGTAAAGTGCTGTCTCTAATAAAGAGACGCTGTCAATATCATCTTACTTACTGGCAAGTCAATTCATCTAACTCCTTTTGCTCTGATTCAGTGCTCACTGAGCAGCCCTTTGCTCAGTATTTGCCTTCCCAGGTGTAAAACTGCCTACAAGGTGTATGATGTAAAACAGTAGCAGTAGCAGGACTGTGGGCAGATTCAAGAAGCAGAGGGTTGTGGGCAGAGTCAAAAGTAGAGAGTTGGAATAGGCCTCTTTGGGTTCATCCTAAGTGAAATAAGCCAGTTGGTGAAAGATAAATACCATACGATCTCACCTGTAAGTGGAACCTAATCAACAAAACAAACGAACAAGCAAGCAAAATATAACCAGAGACATTGAAATAAAGAACAAACTGACAGTAACAGAAGGGAGGGGGAAGAGGGATAATAGGGGAAGGATCATCAAGGAACATATAGAAAGGACATATGGACAAAGCCAAAGGGGATAGGTTTGAGGGTGGGGGGAAAATAGAGACAACTGTACTTGAACAATAAAAAAAAAAATTGTAAATAATTTTTTTAAAAAGTAGAGGGCTGGTAACAAAGGTAGGGAGAGGTAGAAGTTCAGGATGATCTCATCTTTTATTTTACCTGGCTAGGGTTTAGTTTGAGTTTGGAGAGCCAATAGAATACACAGTCAAGGATGTCCATTGATGGTCCTGAGACCAGGTCTCCTGCTGCCTTGTTTACCCACCCTCCCCCTGCCCCACCCTACAAAAAGAATGTTCATTAGGCAGTTGTAGATAAACGGGTAAAAGGGTTTGAAACTGAGAAAGTCTGGAATTAAATAATTTAACATACTTGAACTTTGGTTGCTTGGTATGTGGGAGGCATGCATATTTGTTATGATTGGTAAGTTGACCACAGTATGAAGGAACTTATGGCATGATCAGAACTTTTTCCCCTTTTCTAGATGTTATTGTTCATGAAGGCCATTGGATTGGTGAGACAGTACTACAATCAACATTTACCAGTCAGTTATTAAATCTTGGGAGTTATTCATCTGTCCAGCCTGAAGAATGTAAGGCACACTTTACATATAATAATATCTTATTATTTAAAGCATATACACACATTTTTAAAAAGTAGAGTTAAAATGGTAATTTTATAAAATGTTTTCTAAGTTGCTGGAAAGTATTCCTTTATTTTGTTTAGTAAGAATGAAATAGAATTTATAAAAACAAACTTGTACATTGTAAATCATATATATTTAAGGAAATATTGGGGTTTATGTTTCATTTTCTCAGAGAGTCAGTATAGTGGTGGTTCTTAACCTTTTAGGGAGTCATAGACCTCTTTGAGATGCTAAGGGCCATTTCTCTAGAAAAAATGGACTTAAGTAGATAGAAACAAAATGTTGCACGGACCTATAAAGTTCACTAGAATTTCTAAGCCTCTGATTAAGAAACCTTTAGGTAATGAAAAAAGCATGGGTTATAGTCACATAGGTAGAAGTTTGAATCCTTGTTCTTCCATCTGCCATTGCTAGGAAAAATGACTTTCTTTTCTGACATCCATTTTTGCATCTTTAAAATAAGCTGTTGACTGAAGAAACCAGCAGCTGTCTTTTTCTCCAAGAAATTAAAAAAGAAAAATAAAAAATAAAGTAAGGTAGACAGTATAAACTGGTAGTTATAGCCTCTGGAATCAGACAGACCAAATTTGAATCCTGGTCCTAGAACTTCTAAAGTCTGTGTTTTTAGGCAAGTTACTTGACCTCATTATACCCCTTTATCCTCATTGGTGAATGAAATAAAAATACATACATAACTTACAGGGTTGTTTGTGAAGATTAAATGAAAGAATGAATATAAGATGTTGAACCTGCATATAATATAATAACAATATAGTAATATTAGTAGGAAAAGTAATAAGCAAAATACATTTTATAAAATACTAGAATAGTGTCAGGAAAATAGCTTATCAGTATGTATAAGATTATACAAGAGATTAATTATAAAACAAGAAGATAAAGTATGGAATTCCAACCACTGAACAATAAGAATTATCAAAGAAAGGCAGAATAAACAGAATAGAATGATAACAAATAGAACAACAACAACGGTGTTTGGAAAGGGCAGTGTTCCCCTGTATCCTACAGATCTTAGCAGAAAATCAGCACTGACATATTCTCATAAAATAACTAAAATTGAGTTCTTCATCTATACAGTATTTTTGTATTAACTGTTGGCATTGAGGCACTGTGTACTGGGGATACAATTGTGAACAACAGATACCTGGTATCTGCCTTTGTGGAGCTCAAGTGCCTGTGTGTGGAAAACAGACATGTATATAAAATATTTGCAGGTGATAATGAATGCTATTAAGGTAAGTAACTAAGGGCTAAGATAATAGAATACTATGGTTGTGGTTGTGAAAGGCTGGTCATGGGGTGGATTCAAAGTTACAAATTTATGATAGTTTAAATTGAGAGATAATAGGGGACTAGTGTAGATCATGAGAAATGGATGAATTTTAGATGTAGCTGTGAACAGAGTTAACTGGAATTTCTGATGCTGTGGATTTGGAGAGGAAGGAAGAGTAACAATCTACTACTACTGGGTTTCTGGTTTTAGTAACTAGGTAGCCTTTATTAGGAAAAACTGAGAGGTAATGGGTTCATGGGGGAAAATAAGGGTTCTGTCTTAGGCATGTTAAGTTTTAGATATCTCTGAGGCAACCAGTGAAGATGTCATGTATGGATTGGAAACAAAGTCCAAAACTCAGAGGAAAAGTTTGAAATGAAGACATAAATTTTAGAATTATGAGCTCTGTTATTGGAATGGATTTTTTTTTTTACTACGAGAGTACTTATTAAAACTGGGGACAGTGAAACAAAGGAAGAGCTTAGGGTAGAAGAAGCAACAGAGAGAGCCTAGGTGGTGCTCTGCTAGAAATGTTCGTTAGAGGAAAGAAGTCAGCCATGCTGGACTGTGTGGACTCACTGAGAAGTAAAAGCTACAGTGACAGAAGTGAGCCAAGGCAGGGCTGCTGTTAGCTCCCTGAAAAGTTAGGGAAAAGCGGGATTTGGAGATAGGTTCAAAGGGGGTAATCCCAGGATGACTCGCCACTGCCTGTTGCTCTCATGGTTGCAAGTGTCGTGGGGACCCTTAAATTTAGGAGAGAAAAATAAAGATGCATGCCTGAGAGGGAAGAAAATCATAGGTGTGTTTCAGAGAGAGCACACATTAATGGGATTTATAATGTGAAGTATATACTTATTTGGTCTTTGTCCCCATTTCCAGCACAGAGCTTCTAAAAGTCTTGGAATTTTTTAGGTGATTAGAGTGGTAAAGGTGTATTGATATTCATAATGAATCCCAATCAACCATACCTGAGTTAATATTAATGAAGTGACATTTAGAAACCACTTAAGGATGGGGGCTGGTTGGCAGGCAAACCAACGATGTGATTACAAGGTTGGAAATTTCAGTACCCCTCTTTGCAGGAGAGAAGGGCTAGAGATTGAATTAATTTCCAGTTACTCAATCATGCCTGTGTAATGAAAACCCAAATGAGCAGAGTTTGGAGAGCTTCCAGGTTGTTGAATATGTGGAGATTCAGGAGGGTGTAGTGACCAGGGAGGGTATGGAAGCCCTGTGCCCCTTCTCATGTATCTTGCCCTAGGTATCTTTTCCATCTAAGTGTTTATACACACACACACACACACACACATACATACATACATACATACATACACTTTATACTATCTTTTATAATAAACTGGTAAGTGTAAGAAGATGTTTCTCTGAGTTTTGTGAGCCCTTTCAGTAGATTAATTGAGGCTGAGGAGAGGGTTGTGGGAACCTGCAATCTAGCATGGTATGGTGACAGTCTGGATTTATGGTTGGTGACTCAAATGGGGGAGTAAGGAGGGATTGTCTTGTGGAACTGGTCCCTGAACTTCTGAGATCTGATGCTGTCTCTAGGTAGATAGTGTCAGATCTGAGTGAATTACTTGGTGGTATGGAACAAAACCCCGTAGGAATATGTGTCAGAATTATATAGTAGCATAAAGATAATAGTCATTTATTTTATTATTTGAAAATTTTATAATGTTGAAATAAGACTCACAAAAGATTACAAAAATAATACATAAAGTTTCCAGAGCCCTTCACCCAGCTTCCCCAATAGTGACATCTTATATAACTGTAGTACAATATCAGTATCAGGAAACTGATACTGTTAACTATCCCACAGACCTTATTCTGTATTCATATGCTCTGTGTGTGTGTAGTTCTGTGAAGTTTGATTCCATGTATAAATTTGTGTTAACACCACAAATTTATAAGAATAGAGAACTGTTCCATCACCACAAAGGAACTTTTCCATGCTACCTCCTTAATAGTCATCACTGCCTCTGCTCCAATCCCCATTTGTCTTCTGACAACCACTAATTTGGTCTTCATCTTAACACTGTCATCTTGAGTGTTATATAAATAAAGTCATGTAAATGCTTTGTAAGTAATATCATGTTATCTAAATGTAATCTTTTGAGGTTGCCTTATTTTCACTAAGCATAATGCCCTGATATCCATCTAAATTGTTGCCTGTATCAATAATTATTTCTTTTCAATGCTGACTAGCATTCCATTGTATGGATCTACCAGAGTTTGTTTAAGGATTCAGCTCCTGAAGAACATTTGGGTTGTTTCCCTATGTGGGCTATTATGAATAAAGCAGCTGTGAAATTTGTATACAGGTTTTTGTATGAACATAAATTTTCATTTCTCTGGCATAAATGACTAAAAGTGCAATTGTTGTACTGTATGGTAAGTACATGTTTAGTTTTATAAGAAACTGACAAAACTATTTTCCAGAGTGGCTGTACCATTTAAAATTTTTACTAGCAATGTATCTCCTTCCAGTTTCTCAACATCTTTGCAGCATTTGGAATTATCTTTTTAAAAAAAATCCTCACCCAGGATATTATTGATTTTAGAGAGAAAGGAAGTGAGAGAAACATAGATATAAGAGAAAAACCTCGATCAGTTGCCTCCCATACACACCCAACTAGGGATCGAACTGGTAACTTTTTGGTGTACTGGACGATTCTCCACTGAGCCACTCAGCCAAGATATTATTATCCTATTTGTTATTTTAGTTGTTCTCATTGGTGTTCCGTGATATCTTACTGTGGTTTTAATTTGCATTTTATTTATTTTAATTGTTGTTCAAGTACAGTTTTCTGTCTTTCACTCCCATCCCAGCTCACCCCCCCACCATGCTCCCCACCTCCTTCCCATTTCCACCCCCCCCTTAGTTTTTGTCCATGTGTCCTTTATACTTGTTCCTGTAAACCCTTCTTCCCCTTTTCCCCTGAAATTCCCTCCCCTCTCCTCTCTGGTCCTAATTTGCATTTTTAATGGTACAAGTTCTAACAATATAACTAATGGAGATAAATGATGGAAATAGGGTAGTGAATAGGGAGGGTATTTCTCATGGATATAAATTGAACTCTACACTCTAATAATATGCACTCTTTTTATGCACCCACCATGCTTTCAGAAAAATTGAGACTACTAGTCACAAACAAAATATGAGTAACTTCTGTAAAGTAAAATTATTACAAACATGCTAATCAAATGTTGTAAAACTAGAATTTATTAACAACAACAAGAAAAATGAGGTCCTTTATATGGAAATTTTAAAGCCTATTAAGTTCTAGGTGAAAGGGGAATACAAACTGGATAAAGAATTTTTAAGAAGTAAGAAGTAAAAAATAGAATTTTTGAGAAGTAATAACAATGAAAATTCTACATGTCAGAATCTCGGATGCATTTAAGGCTGTTATCAGAGAAAAATTTATTATCTAAACACTGTATCAACAAAAATGAAAGAATAAAAATAAATGAATTAAAGTCCAAGCTCAGCAAACCAGCAAAAGAACAACGAAGTAAACCAAAGAAATCACAAAGAATGAAATAATAGAGATAAAGCAAAAATGAATAACAATGAGAATTACAAAATAATAAATATAATCAAAATCCTGTTTCCAAAAATTACAAAATAGATGAACCA